TAAAACAGTGGTTCTCAACCTCTGGATTGTGACCCCCTTGGGGTAGCATTCAGATATCTACATAACAATTCATAACAGCAGCAAAATTACAGTTATGAAGTAGCAACAAAAATAATTTTAAGGTTGGGGTCACCAGGACATGAGGACTGTATTAAAGGATCAAAGCATTAGAGAGGTTGAGAACCACTGCTCTAGAGGGAATGGCTACTATTCCTAACCCTTCAGCTGTTCTTCTGCCATCCTCTCAGAGTTCTGTGGCCTTGAATAAGAACAGGCCCTGCCGGCTCCTTTCTCCTGCCTTCTACCTGTCACAATTATCAGTGCAGAGCTGGGAGAACTTCTCAGAATCCTGAGGCCCTAGGGGAGAAAGCTACCCACTATCTAGTCTTATTCTCCACAGAAAATGGTAGGTGCGGGGTGTATCACCAGGGGCACATTCACGGTGTCCTTTCTCAAGGCCCAGGGCAGATTTCCAAAGGGGAAGTCAGGACAGCTGGTGAGGTTAAAGGTGAATGGTCTGGGAGAAGGGGCTTGGGTGAGTTTCCCTGGCTGTCAGGTCCTTAGTGTTCTCTGGTAGCATGGCCTTGGATGCAGAAGTAGTCTCTTCTTGGCTTCCTTCCCCTCTGATTCCTTGGCCATTCCCAGGTAGCTGCTGGGTACTCCAGAGGGAACAACCCTTGACAGCCTATCCTCCCGGGGAAGCAACCCACCCTAAGGGGTGATATGACAGAAAGAAGAAAAATGTCTCACCAGAGATCCAGCCAGCCACGAACTCCTCCACAGGCATTGTATGGGCTTGGGTGGGAACTGGTGTTCCAGGCAGGGCCGCAGAGAAGACTGTTGCGAGTGAAATCCCCACCCCCTTTCCGAACCCGATAACCTCCCACTAATGTTTAACCCTGGCTGGAGGGTGAGAAGTGGCCCAGTGCCCAGACCTCAGGCAACCATTAGTGAGAGTGAGCCAACTTCAGTGATCCTGAGCCTGGAGGAGGTCTACAAAGTATGAAATCTCTAGGGGCAGGTTGACAGACAGAGCTAGCCTGAATCCTGTCCCAGGACAGTGACAACCATGCTGTGTGACAGAGGATGGCAACTGAGTCCTAGCCTGGTGAGCCACTCCCAGGCTGCTTTATTGAGTGAGGAGCAAAGCCCTGCTTGACCAGCCAGTCCAGAGCAAATTCCCAAGGAGCATAAGCCTCACCTACCCTGACATGCTGTGAAACTATAGAAAGTCAAAAATGTGACCACCAGGTGGCAGTCCTGTGCTACAGTGGCCTGCAGCAGCCACCTGAGTCTAGGGCAGGATGAGAACTAGTCGAAAAAGAGAGGCCCCTGCCCCCAGAAGTGACTCACCAGGCCCCGAAGCCTGTTTGTCCGCTCTCTCCGGAGTTGTTTACAGCCGTGAGTCAGAACCGCAGCCTCCTCTTCCCCAGGGGAAGAAACAATGGGCTTTTGACTGCACAGAGACCAGCGCTACACTGCATCAAAACCAAAACCCTGCTCTTCTGGCCTCTGGCCTCTGCTTCCAGATGCCAGGCTAGGGAGGCCTCACCAGATGCCAGGGCCTAGATTTTGGACTTCCCTGTCTCCAAACTGTAACAAACAAATTTTCTTTCTTTAAAACTTAGAAAGAAAGAGGCGAAATCGCTTCTTTGCTGTCTGAGCCCTCTCAGTACCTCCCTTCTGTGACCTCATGTCCTGCTTCCTGCCCCACTGTAAACAGGCTCTCAGCCTCCAGGCTGCTTCCTCTTCCTGGGCATAACTCTCCCTGGACTCCTTCCAGCTGAGGCTGAAACATCACCTTCTCAGTGAGGTACCCCCCCAAGTCATCTCATGGACAAACCCCGCAGTCTGCACCCGTCCCTCCTCAAGCTTGTCACTGACCGGTAGGGGCTTTATCCACTGGCATGCTTAAAGGATTAGAGAATGTGACACAGGGTAAACATACTCCCTGCTAATGGATGGTGGATGGATGAACGGTGGCCAGAAGAATGAAAGGGTCCCAGTGCGTCAACAGAGAAGAGGACAAAACACAGTGTGATGCATGTGCACAGTGGAGTTTCAGGTGCAAAGAGCAACAAAATGACATCACTCGCAAAAAGGGAATAGGGATAGAGCATCATGCTAAACAAAATAAGCAGACTTCAGAAAGAACATTATCACATTTTCTTTCATGCGCAGAATCTAAAATTAAAAATAAACTGGGCAGTGTCGGTTCACATCCTTAGTCCCAACACTGGGAAGCAGAGGCAGGCGGATTCCAGTGTGTCCGAGGCCGGCCTGGTCTACAGAGCAAGTTCCAGGACAGTCAGGGCAACACAGAGAAACCCTGTTTTGAAAAACAAAACAAAAACTTTCAATTTTTAAGATTTATTTTATGTGTATGAGTGTTTTCCCTACATGTATGTGTTTGTACCATATACATGCCCAGTGCCTGTGGAGATTACAAGAAGGCATCAGACTCCTTGGAGCTGGAGTTAAGGATGGTTATGGGCTAACATGTCAGTGCTGAGAATCAAACCCAGGTCCTCTGCAAGAGCAGTAAATGCTGAGTTTGAGACTAGTCTGGTCTACAAAGAGATTTTCAGGACAGGGCTATACAGAGAAACTCTGTCGAGAGAGAGAGAGAGAGAGAGAGAGAGAGAGAGAGAGAGAGAGAAAGGCAGCCTCAATATTCATTTACTTATTTTTCTGTGTGTATGTTTGTGTGCCTGAGTGTATATATGTATCCCACCTGTGTGCATGAGCCCATAGAGATCAGAAGAGGGTGTCAGGTCTTTTAGAAATACAGTCACAGGGGATTGTGAGTTACCACATGTGTGCTTGGTGCTTGGGAACAGAATCTGGGTCCTCAGCAGGAACAGTCAGTGCTCTTAACCAGTGTCATCTCTTCAGGCCCACTTAAAAAAAAAACAAAAAACAAAAAGCCGGGTAGTGGTGGTGCACACCTTTAATTCCAGCACTCGGGAGGCAGAGGCAGGGGGATCTCTCTGAGTTCGAGACTAGCCTGGTCTACAAGAGCTAGTTCCAGGACAGCCTCCAAACCCTGTCTCGGAAAAACCAAAAAAAAAAAAAAAAAAAACGAATTAATTGTGTGTTCCAGAGACAAAAAGCAAGTGTGTGCACACTTGTGGCGGCACAGCCCTCATAGAATCAAAGGACAACTTTTGGGAGTGGGTTCCCACCTTCTAACTGGTTACAGCAGGTCTCTCGTGTTTCTGATGCTGCATGCATGGCCTGCCAGCTTTCAGGTGACTCTACTGTCTCGGCTTCCCATCTGGCTGTAGAAGTGTTTTGACTACAGATGCCTGACATCATATCAACGTGGGTTTTCATGAGTGCGGCAAGCACTTTTACTCACTGAGCCATCTAGAATAAATGGGTATACACATAACACACACACACATGCACCACACATGCACATACAAACACAAAGAGGACATGGAAATAGAAGGGAGACTATACACGGAAGGTGGCGGTGGGTCCAGAGAGAAGTCCAAACAGTGGGGGAACAAGAGGAAGTAATGGTGCAGGGAAGAAAGACAAAAGGGTCCACGGTTTCTCTCAGGTGTTGTCCAGGATTAGAGTGCTTGCTTCACATGCAGAGACCCTGGGTTTAACACACACCCACACCCACTACCACTTTTAAAGTATCAGGCACATAAATGTTTCCATTCAGAATCCATACAACATGTTCATGAGACACGCAGGAAAGGGCTTGGCCCATGTCCAGCACGTAGTAGGTATGCAGGAACTGAAGACCTTCCCTTCTCTGCCTATAGTGTTTTGTATCTCCTATAGCAGTACTGTAGCCTTGTGTAATATTTACTGTTGTTATTGTGGGTTTTGTTTTTGTTTTTGCTTTTTTTTGAGACAGAGTCTCATATGGCCCAGGCTGGCTGGCCTAGCTATGTGGCCAAGTGTGAGCCTGAACTCCTGTTGATCCTCCTGCCTCCATCCCCCACGTGTTAGGATTACAGCATTTACCACCATGGTTGGCCCACCTACTGTAGTTTTGTTTGTTTTTTTGGTTTTTCATTGTATAGCTCTGTCCTGGAAATCAGAGGTCTGTCTGCCTCTGTCTCCCTCTGCTTGGATTAAAGGCTTGGGTGCCATCAAGCTCAACAAAACAAAAACAACGCTGAAGACCAGCCAGGAGCTTATGTTTGCTTTCCAGCAAGGAAATAAGATGACAAAGGGAACTCAAGTTCTGCTCCTGATCCCTAAGCCAATCTCGTTTTCATGTGGCTAGAGTAGCGCCCATGGACTTGTTTTTCTCCACACATTCCAGGCCTCAGGCACACACATGCTCATTTGTCAGACCTAGGGGCCAGGTGATTTTGCATTTATCTCTTTGGGACCGCAATGCCTCTAGATTGCGTCTAAGACAGCCAGGCTAACGTGACTGCACCCTGGAAGCACAGCAAGTTCTGTTTCCAACATACATACACAATATGAGGGTAAAGGGAATATTGAGAACCATTCAGTCCAAGTTCCTCATGTTACAGGTGAAAACAGATCTAGAGGACAAGGGCCCTACTCCTGTCCAAGGCCAAGAGCCAGTCTCCCTTGGGGGCCGAAAGGGCGCTTCACTACAGGCTCGGGAGGACTGTGCGACACCACCCACTGCCCTCTAGACACGCACTGGTCTCAGGGAAGCATCTCCATTTCAGAGAGGGGCCCAGCCAAGGCACACGGAGAGGTAGCGGCACAGCTCGCGCCCTCATCCTCGGTTTTCATGGCCACATCCTATCAAGGGTCTTGTGCACGGAGCAACACAGGTCATTCAAGTAGGCGGCTCTGCCGGACACAACAAGGGGCAGGGCTAGACTGGACTCCTGCCAGGGGCCTTTGGGATGCGCAGAGCCCGCGGAGCTGGGGTGGGGGCGGGCTGGTGGAAGGGGCCGAAGGACGGAACGAGTGAGCGCGCGTGCGCCGAGGCTCCGGGCTCCGATTGGCTCCCACGGTCTGAGAGGCGAGGCCTCGGGTCCGAACTTCCTCCCACCGTAGCTTCCGCGCGCCGGCGTCTCGACCCTCAGCGGGAGTCTGAGGCTCCGCTGGCGGGCGTGGCGGTGGGTCCAGAGTTGAAGGCCAGAATCGGGTGTCGTTCTGGCCGAGGCAGCGAGCTCCGCGACCCTGCGAGGTGAGAGTGCGGCCACTCCCTGCCCGGGTCTCCGCCCTAGGCGGGGACGCGCCCTGACTTGCCCGGGCATCCCTTGCAAGCGACCTGCGACCCCTGCACCTGACGGTCACTGCCCTGACCCAGCACCACCCCGACCTGCACTCGGCCGAGGGTCACGCCCCACTTTCAGTCTCCGCACTTAATCCTGTACTTAGATTAAGACCTGTAGACCGAGCCCGGGACCCCTTTGCTTCTTGGCTGAAAGCTTGAGGAGACCATCTGCCTAGGTTCCTACTGCAGATGGATGGGGCAGAAGGTAACGCGGGGCAGCCCGGCCCTGCGGAGCGGTCCCACCGAAGCAGCGTTTCCTCCGTGGGAGCCCGAGGTAGGTCTCTACCCTTTTTTCGTCTCTTCTTTATCCTTCTTGGTCCTAGCCCTGGGGACGTGGTTCCAGTTTGTCTTCTTTTCAGTAAGTTAACGTTATAGTAAGAAAGAAATAAGATGTGTTAAGGTGTGACACACTCATAGAAGTCAAAGGACCTAGCTGGGCTCTGTCACTGGCGTAGTGAGCAAGCCATAGTCTTCTTGAATCTTCTCTCATTGTGAAAAGGCTTGTGTTCAAATGAAGACACATGAATAGAAAGTGACACCACTTTTTTTTTATACCATTTCTTTCTTACAGACAGCCTTTTGAAAGCAGGGATTCTTTTCCTCTTTGTTTTATTGGAAGGCAGTTTGGCCCCAGAGAGGTTGTTAGGTCCCAGACTACTGGAACGGGCCAGAGTGATCATGAACTTGAGCCTTCAGGGCCTTGTTTTCCTGCCTATAAAATGAATCTGAACCTCAGTCTCCTGGAGGAGACTGTTTGATCTCTTAAAGTAGCTGTTGGACCAGAAGAGACCAGAATCTTAAGAAATCTCTTCAGTGTGTTAGCTGGGTGCTGTGCCTAGCACATTTACAGGCTTATTGGATTGGTGGTGACCTTTTGAAGAAGAGTTTTTAACTATTTTTACAGATTTAAAACTGACACAGAGTCCCACTGGACTCAGCCAATAAGTAGAAAGCAGGCAAGGATTGCAAGTTGCGAATTTGAGCACCCAAACTCAGTTCTCCTTTATTGGGGCCTGTAGTACCCTGCCAACCATCTTCCACTGGCTCTGGGCTCCAAACCTAAGCTTGTTATAAGGGAACACTTGGCTATTTGAGTTGTTTGGTTTTTTGTTTTTTTTTTTTTCTTTCTAGTCTACTTAAAGCTTTCTGCAAAAGTCACAGTATTGATCCCTAGAGTTTTGAAGAGTCCTAGCAAAGCTTGTGACCTGGACATCCTGTAACCCTGGGTGGCCTCAGAAATTGCCATTGCCCTCTTAGTCTGACCCAGACAGAGTCAGAAGGTCACTAGTTGGCCCTGCTCCCAGCCTGATGGGGAACTGTGACCTCAGGATGGGTTACCCCTGTCCTACTTTTCCACCTGAGAAATATTGTTGGAAATACAGTAGTATTGATGTCACAGAGGAAGGGAGGTGGTTTTCATGATAAGCGGAACTTTTTGGGTCTTGGGTGAAATGGGGCTAGTATCTGAGCTACAGTTTCTGGGTAATTTGAGGTCTCAAAAAGTCCATAAAGGCAGCACTTTTATTATTTATTTATTTTTAAAATAGTGGGTCTTGTTGTATAGCCCAGGCTGGCCTAAAACTTGAAATCCTCCAGGGACTACAGGTGTGTGCCCCCATACCTGGCCATAAGCACCCTCACTGCTAATGGGGTCTTGAGGGGATATGTCAGTATATCTTGGGCCATAAAAAGGAGCAAAGGGGGTGGAGAATGCCTTATTGGCCTGGTGGTGGGCCTCAACTGTCCCTGTCTGACTTATATTCCAGCAGCTGATGTGCTGGTGTACCTGGCTGATGACACAGTAGTGCCCCTGGCTGTGGAGAACCTGTCCTCCATCAGTGCCCAGGAGCTGCACCGCGCAGTCCATGAAGTCCTGCAGCTCCCAGATGTGGCCCTGGATGCCTTTGCACTCTGGCTTGTCTCCCCTCTTCTAGGTAAGGTCTGGCAAGAGCAGGGGTTGAGAAGGCTGGTAGGGGTAGATTGGGGGGTGCAGAGAGAGGGTTTAGCTATCAGAACCTGTGTCCTCTTCCTGTCAGGGAAGGATGGGACCTGGTGTGTCCCAGAGCCCTGAGGAAGTTTGTGGATCCTTTGTCTTTGCTGCCTTTTTTTCTTGTTCTGGTGCAGTACTACTGGAGCCTCGACCTGACCTTCAGAAGAGCAGAAGGCCCCTTGCTTACAGAGCATGCAATCTGGGCCACACCCTGAGAGTATAACTTATGTGTTTTCCTATGGCTCAGGTCTGCCCATGAGTGTCCTGGAGCTGTAGGCTAGTGGATGTCAGGACCAAGGCTGACCACAGTGTCGAGCCTCTGGACGGCTGGCAGTAAGGAAGAGTATAGACATGGCTCAGCAAGTGGCCCTGGACAGGGATGCCTTTGCTTAGGAGTGGGGAGTGGGGCTGTAGGAAGAAGAGGAACATGGCTTTCTCCACCCTACCTGGTTTCTGGCCCTGTGACCACACACTTCCTGCCCTTGCAGGCTGGGGCCTCAAAGTGGGATAGGAATGGAGACAGGGTTTTATAGACTCTGGAGCCGGTAAATAAAGTCCCTCATTATGGTCCCTGAGCATGTTGACACAGAAGGAAAGTGACTAAAGGGGGATCCTTGTCATCATTTGGGGAATAAATCAGTGCTGGCACCAGGCATATTATCTGAACTTAAATTTTCTTTTGAGGGCTGGCAAGATGGCTCAGTGGGTAACGGCACTTGCTGCTAAACCTGGTGGCCCTAGTTTGATCCTTGGAGCCTATGTAGTGGAAGGAGAGAACAAGTTCTTCAAATAGCACTCTGATTTCCACATTCATGACCGCACATGTTATTATTATTTAGGTTGAGCATATACCAGAGTATGTCTTTTTTAAAAATTCCCTTTGAGGGAGGGGATACAGCTCAGTAGTAGAGTACTCGCCTAGCCTATGCAAGGCCCTAGGTTCAGTCCCCAGTGTTTAAAAAAACAGCAAGAGTGACTATTCCCCAGCTGGGCATTGGTGGCTCATGCCTTTAATCCCAGCAATTGGTAGGCAGAGGCAGGCGGATCTCTGTGAGTTCAAGGCCAGCCTGGTCTCCAGAGCGAGTGCCAGGATAGGCTCCAAAGCTACACAGAGAAACCCTGTCTCGGAAAACAAACAAACAAAAAGAGTGACTATTCCCCTTGTTGTGGAAGAAGGCATTTGGCCTCAAGAATTTGACATCCCCAGGGATTAGAATTGGTGCCTTCCTTTTCTGGGGTCCCTAGGGTTTCTGCCTCTGCCCTGTGGGTGAAGCTCCAGCCCCCATCCTTGCTCCTCCTGCATCTGCTGCCCCAGGCTCACACCCACCCTCTTCTTGCTGGCCCAGCCCCTCCTTTGCCCTCTGAGCTGCTGGTCAGGGCTGTGGGCCCCTTGGATATGTGGAAAGCTGGGGATATCGGGTCCTAGTGGGTGGCTCCTGTTCTCACAAGAGGCTCCCTGTACTGTTCCTCCTCACTCTATTCACCCTGCTCCCTCGCATTCCCATAGCCTGCTCGTGGCCAGAACTGAATGCATTGCCTGTGTGGACTGACTGTCCAGGAGGAGAGTGCCTGAGGCTGCAGGATACTTAACACCCACGTTCTTCCCAGGCTGGGGTAGGAGGCTGAAAGGCTACTTCAGACCCCAGGACACTCCCCCTCCACACACACCCATACAAAGCAGAGTAGGGACCTGCCTTCCCAGCTGTGAGTGCCTGGGAGGCATAGGCTTCATGCTCCTCATTTTGGTGTGTTTGGCCTTCTCCCCATCATCTGCATGGAACTGGCTCCAGGAAGTGTGTTTGTCTTACTTGGATGATGGCCACTAGGGAAGACGGTCCCACCCAGAAGTCTGAAGCTGTGCTGTTGGCATAGCCCTAGTCTGATGGTGGGATCTCGGGGACTTGGGAGTGAAGGCATGAGGAACACACTCTTGTCCCCAGGCCTACCATCCCACTCTGGATTTTCTCAGTGCTGGGACAGACAGAGATCAGACCCATGGGATCCTCCATTGGAGGACTCAGAGTGTGTTACTCTAGAGTCAAATGTGTGCTAACCGGAGACTTGGGAAGCTAAGCTCAGGTCCTGTCTAGCTGCTGTGTGTGGCCCTGTGAAATTGTCATCTCTTATGGGCTTCAGGTGAAGTGAGTAATCTTGTTCCTCAGCCCCATTTTGGGAGCCTGTGGAGAGTGGGGGATGGGAGGGAGGAGGAACGTGGGCCCTCTCTAGGAAACTTGGGTCAGAAAAATAGGACAAGAAAGGTCTGGAGCTAGATGCAAAGGTTGGATGGAGGAGGCTTGAGGCAAGAAGGCCACTTGGAGGCTGGGGCTGCTATGTAGTCAAGATCAGGGTCCAGAAGGTCTAAGTGATCCAAAGAACCATTGGTATCTATCTGGCACACACATGGTGGCACCCTCACCAAACATCTCAGCACATCCCTGGGTGAGCTCAACACCACCTCACCTCTCAAGCAACATCTCGGGACCACTGTCAACCTAATTCACAGGGCCCAGTGTACAAGCTGAATCTGTCCCTTGCTGTGAGACAGGTGACCCAATCCCTCTGAACCTGTTTCTCTCCAAGTGAGAGTGCAGGTCAGGGCTGCTCCAGGGTGAAAGCACTTAAATTGTCTGACATGACTCTTGTCCTGCTCAGTTGTTAGTTGTGACTGTCCTCACTGTTGGCGGGCAGTTTGATGGGTGAGTCGGCACTGTTGGCCTGGTCAGCAGCCTCATGGCCATCTCCTCTCTTACCCTGCAGAGGTGCAGTTGAAACCCAAGCACCAGCCCTACAAGCTGGGCCGCCAGTGGCCAGAGCTGCTGCTGCGCTTCACCGATGCCTCCGATGACGATGTGGCCATGGGTCAGTGTTGCTGGGGCGGGATTCCACCTACCCGGCGGTTTGTCAGCCATCCCTAACAGAAGAACTTAAGGGGGTACCTGCAGGGAGCCTTGGGAGGGCTAGGCTGGGAGAGGCTGTGAACAGAGACGCTGTGTGCTCACTGTCTAGCCAGCACCCCCCATTCAGGAGGGCTTTCTCCAAGGTTGGGAGATGGGGTGGCCGTTTAGGGCAGGACAGGTTGGGGCTGTGTAATGCAAGCGGACCAGGCACTGACTCTAGCCCCTCTCCCCAGACGAGCCTTCCCTTCAGTTCCGAAGGAATGTGTTCTTCCCAAAGCGCCGAGAGCTCCAGGTAAGGTGGTAACGCATGCCCAGTGCCCATTCCCCCGAACCCCTAGATGCCTAGGCAATCATACCATGCCCAGTTCCTCTGAGCCATTATCTTCATGCCACGCTGGCCTGCAGATCCACGATGAGGCGGTCTTGCGGCTGTTCTATGAGGAAGCCAAGGGCAATGTGCTGACTGCTCGATACCCTTGTGACCTGGAGGACTGTGAGGTGCTGGGTGCCCTCGTGTGCCGTGTGCAGCTTGGGCCTTATCAGCCTGGCCAGCCTGCTGCCTGCACTCTGAGGTAAGGACAGTGAGACTTGAGATGGGCACTCGGTGGGAAAATCGCTGAGCAAGAATCTACAAGTGGTTCTAGGTCCCACAAGGTGGGTGGGTAGTCCTGAGTCCGGCTTCTGATGCATGCATACTCATTGGGTGGCCTTGGTGTGCTCTCTACTTTTCTGAGCACCTTTTTCCTCAATCTGTGGGCAGTGGATACACATGAAATGCTGTCTAAGAGGTGTCCTCAGCACAAGGGGCCACAGATCATGTGGATGGAGCCCTACCTCTAGCTGAAGGCTGGAGGGAGTTGTGCTTTTATTTTTTAGAGTCCCAGCCAGGAAGTAACCACATGACCCTCCCAGTAACCACTAAGGTTGAGCTAAACTCCAAACCCCAAGAAGAGAATCCTGTTCCCCAGATACTCACCAAGCCAATACCTGCTTCTGGTTCATGTCTAGAAAGATGAGAGTGGCGTCTCCCATAACAGCAGACCAGGTCATTCTCTGCCTCCGTAGAGGTGTAGAAATAATTCCAGGGTCAAGGTCTAGTTCACACCTGTAATCCTAGCATTTAAGGCTGAGACTGGCTTGCCATGAATTCCAAGCCAGCCTGGGGTAAAGAGTTGTGAGCCAGGCATGGAGTTTCATGCTGGCAATTTCCATAAACACTCAGGGAATGAAGCAGGAAGATCAGAAGTTCAGGGTCATATCTCCCCCACCCCCAGGGTTTCTCTGAATTGTTTTGAAGCCTGTCCTGGTACTCACTCAGTAGACTGGCCTCGAACTCACAGAGATCGCCTGCCTCTGCCTCCTGAGTGCTGGGATTAAAGGCGTCTGTCGCCACCACCGCCGCCACTACCACCTGGCTCAAGGTCATTCTTAACTACATAGTGTGTTTGAGGCCAGCCTGAGCTACCTGAAACCCTGTTGCAAACAAACAAAAATTATGACAAATTCTGGTGACTAGTAAACTTGCATTCCAGTCTTTTTCTAACCAGGGCTCCTTGTTTCCCCAGTCCTGTGATGAGTAGGTAAGTCATCAAGGAGAGACCCCATGCTGGTGATTGGAGCCTGGCAGGACTACCCTGTGTTCAAAGTCCCCTGAAAGCCTACAGCCAAGCTGTCTAAGGCTGGTGGCCATGGTGTCCTGAACCTCAAGATGAGCAAGTCTGTTTTTCTTGTGCCTGAAAAGAAGCCCAGCTCTGGGGCTGAAGAGATGGCTCAGTGGTTTCTTCTGGCATGTTGGGAGAGTACACATACCTTAAAAAAAAAAAAAAAAACAAAAACAAAAACCCACATAAATAAAGAAGACCAGCTCAACTCATTTAACTCATTTGCACAGGAAATTCCTGTGTTCGCTCATTTGACATGCAAATCCCGATGGTCAGGGTGTTTTTTTTTTTTTTTAAGATTTTATTTATTTATTATGTATACAACATTCTGCTTCCATGTATATCTGCACACCAGAAGAGGGCACCAGATCTCATAGCGGATGGTTGGGAGCTACCATGTGGTTGCTGGAAATTGAACTCAGGACCGCTGGAAGACCAGTCAGTGCTCTTAACCTCTGAGCCATCTCTCCAGCCCCCTGTCAGGGTGGTTTTTATAATATATGAGGTGACATTGTGTGTGTGTGTGTGTGTGTGTGTGTGTGTGTGTGTGTGGTGCATGGGTGTGGATATGCTCACTAATGGGTGACCCAGCACAGAGCATCACACCATTCATATCATTTTGGGTGGAAAAAGTCTCATTCACTCAGAAGACTCAATTGTCCAGCCTCAGGACTCAGACATTGCTCTGATATCTGCTCCAGCCAGACTGTTCTCTGCCCTTCTCTAGCTTCCCATCCTGCTGACCAGAGCACCTCCCAAGCCTCCCTTGGTCCTGAGTGTCAGTCACCACACCTCATTTGATGGGAAAAGGGTTCCCCATAGTGCCCAGCGTGCAGTGGAGTGGGTGTTAAAATTTTTGTCTCCTTCCCTCTTGGGTGAAGATTGGTCCTGGTGACACCCTGTCTCTGTCAGCTTAAAGTATTCTCTTGAGTTTCCTGGGTGAACGATGGTGCTAACAGGAAGGGAGGTTTTGCCTGGTGCAGCAGGAGAGCAGGATCAGGGTGTGGCCTTAGATGGTAGCTATAGCCTGTTCTTGTGGGACCTCCTCCCAAGTCCTGGGCCTAGGCTTGCAGAGCTTTTTCATGTTTTAGTGTAAGGAATAGGTGTGGCATCTCTCCCTACTCTGCAGATAGGCAGGTGCCCCTGGCTGGTCTTACATTGTCAGAGCCTGTCCTGTGGAGAGGCTCCAGACTGACTGACCATACCTGGGCCTGCTGCCCTGGGCTCCCCCGTGAATCCTCTGGGTCTGTTATCCCCTCCATGGCTTGGACGTTGTTACAAGTTCCCTTCCTCTGTGAACCCCATTTTTTTTAGAGAGGAAGAGCGCCCTACCCCCAGTCAACAGTGGTTCTTGCATATCAGGCAGGGTTGACCCTGAGCCAGGCTGAGCAGGCCATTGCTGGGTGGGGATAGTGGGGAATCTCTGCAGTTCAGCACCTCTGTCACCCCTACTGTGTTGTGAGCTATTTGTACACTGTGTGCAGATAGAATACTGTGATTGGTTTACTAAAGAGCTGAACGACCAATAACTAGACAAGAGGTATAGGTGGGACTTGGAGCAGAGAGAGAGGAAGTAAGAGATGAATCCAGGTGCAAGTCAGACACCAAGGAGACATGGAGGGAGTCAGACATACAAAATGAAAGGTAAAAAGCCACATGATAAAATGTAGGTGAAAAGAAGCAGGTTAATTTAACTTATAAGAGCTAGAAGGACAATCCTAAGCTAAGGCCGAACTTTCATTATTAACAAGAAGTCTCTCTGTTGTTATTTGGGAGCTGGTAGAACAGAGAAACACTCAGCCACCCTACTGCACAACAGAGGGCCTTGGATAGTCGTGCCTTGAAGGGTTCCTAAGCCCTGCCACCTACCAAGCCTTGTCCACCCTATGAGCAAGGTACTTACCCTGGGGACCTTAACACCCCTGGAAGAGCCACTTCTACCCCATTTTCCTTCCACTCCAGGGAGAAATTGGACTCCTTCCTCCCTGCCCACCTCTGCAAACGAGGCCATGGCCTCTTTGCTGCCTTCCGGGGCCGAGGGTCCAAGACTGGGCCAGGAGAGCAAGGTCTGCTGAATGCCTATCGCCAGGTAAAGGAAGCCACAGGCAGTGACAGTGAGCATGAGACCACCTTGGGCTCCCACTATCGTGCCTACCTCCTCAAGTGCCATGAGCTGCCCTTCTACGGGTAAGTGGTGTATCTCCAGAGCTCCTGTCCCCTCTTTATCCTCCAGACCACCCCCAGGCTTGACAGTGTGGCAGCAAGAGACCCCACCTGTGCTCCAGTGGCACCATCCTCTTTAAGAGCTGGCTTGATACTTGCCCCAGGTGGAATATCTGCTCCTCCTCCCCCCATCTCCAGCCAGCACTCCTTCTCGGTCCTCTCCTACCCACCACAGCCACTTATCGGCCTGGCTGATTGCCCTTTCAGCTAGTGCTCTTGCTCATCCACAGTGTGTAACAGATAGTTCTCTCTTGCTGGGCATACCCCACACAGTGAAGAAGCTGCCCTTTGAGTGGGAGAACAGAGGTAGGGAACCACTGTAAATAGCAGCCAGGAGAGTAGAGGAGGTGGGAGCTGTAATCTAGACACAGATGGTTTTCCAAACTTATAGCCTATTGTTTGGACCAGTTGTCCTTTGCTGGGATGCGGGCTTCAGTGGAGTAGGCGGGATCTTGGCTTTGAATGTGCCCGCTGAAAGATGCCTAATAGATGCCGGAGTGGTGATTCCACACAGGCATTTGGGTTCCCAGTCTGGGGCTGAAAAAAATGATTGGTGAATTGTTTCAAATCTGGAACCCTGAGAAATGGCCTGGGAGATGAGTGAGGAGAGGCACGGTGTGGAGGAGACTGTCCGGCAGGAGTGTTTTCATGCCAGGTGCCTCGTGCGCCAGTCCTTCCTCCTCAATGTTTTGTTCATTGTTCCCCACTGAGCTCATCTGTGTGCGGCGGTTTGGCCTCAGCCTGCTGGAAGTGGGAGAGTAGGTAGTATGAGAAGAGGGTTAGAAAACAAGCGTGAACCAGCTAGGCGGTGGTGGCGCACACCTGTAACCCCAGTACTCCACAAGCAGAGGCAGGCGGATCTCTGTGAGTTTGAGGCCAACTTGGTCTACAGAGCAAGGAGTTCCAGGACAGCCTGGGCTATTACACAGAGAAACCCTGTCTCAAAAAAACAGGCGGGGAGATGAGGTGGGGTGAGACAGCGAGTGTGATTGGCTTTTATGGAGTTTTACTGGACAATGGAGCAGGACATGTAGGCCTAGCAGGGACAAACTTTCGGTTTTTATATAAGATGAGGTGACGTGTGTGTGTGTGTGTGTGTGTGTGTGTGTGTGTGTTGTGTGGTGCATGGGTGTGCATATACTCACTAATGAGAGACCCAGGAGCGTGTGAAATGGAAATGGGGGGGGTCTTATGACAGTTTCATTTTCCTCATCAGCTGAACCTAAGAGCCGAGGAGGGGTGTAGAATTCTCCAGAAGAGGGGAGTGCACTCACCCCTAGTCCCCTCCTGCATGGAGAGAACCAGCTTTGACTTGGGCTGTGGCTTAGGCAAGTGCCAGCAGCAAGGGAGAGCCTCAGAATGGGTGAAAGCATGGCCTAGCATAGAGGAGACAGTAGTTAGGTGTCTTATCACCCAGAAACCACCTCACCCTTCCCTTTAGTCTTAAGCCCAGATGCCACTATTCTCGGCAGCCCTCACTCCCCAAGTGCCCCTGCAGGTCCCTGCTGCTAAAGGACTTTTGCCATGGACAGTGCAGCAGGCTCAACCTTCCCCCTCACCTGAGGCACCCAGGCTCCTTGGGTTCCCTGATGCAGCTGGCTCTGTCCTCTTTCCTGGGTTTGTGCTTTCCTTCTGCCCACAGTGTCCGCCCAGCATTATCCAGGCCCTCTTTCCACCTGCTCAGTCTAGTCCTACACAGCCAATCAGGTGTTACCACCCCCAATACCTCCCTATTACTTCCTGCCACCACCCCACCACCACCACCACCCCCCACCCCCCTGGCAGGTCTCTATTTTTCCTTCAGTCATCCAAACAGCTTAAGCTTCTGGATACCCAGAGTAGTGTTCCCGTGGGTGTTGGGTGCTGGGTGCTGGAGGGAACAGCTGATACTAGTGCCCTCCCCAGGTGTGCCTTCTTCCATGGTGAGATCGACAAGCCAGCCCAGGGCTTCTTGCATCGAGGCGGACGCAAACCAGTGACCGTGGCCATCAGTCTGGAAGGTGTGCATGTCATCGACAGCAGGGAGAAGGTACCACCTCAGCCTGGCTCCTCAGGGTGGGATTGAATTGCCCTTGGTGGGGCAGATGGCAGTGGGGGTCTTGTCCATGTCTTCTTGGTTCCCTGAGGACTGCAAGCGTCCTAGGAACAGATTGAGTAGACTGTAGGTGACTCTGCCTCCCTCAAATGTCCCTGGAGTTGTGCTCATGCATTCTGGGACCTTCTCTGAGTCTGTTCTGGGTCTGCTTTTCAGAGCCACGACTAGGGGTGGCAGCTGGGATTCTGACTCTGAGTGTAGTGTCTGGCAGCACCTGGCTGCTGCTCCTAGCCAGTGGTGGAGGCTGGCTGGCCATTTTCCACAAAGATTCCTGCTGGGAGCTCCCTGGGCTGGCTGAGCTCTCTGGCTTGCTGTGTAAACTGTGGAGTCAGCAGCCTTCCCTGTACTGTAGTTGCCTACACCTGTGCCCTGGCATAACGATCCCCGCTGTTCTCAGGGCAAAACCCTTGCTTGCCCTGGCTGATTCCCTGGCCATCAGAGGCCTAACCTGCTGGAGGGGAGCATTGAAGGATATGGATTCCTGGCGTCATACTGGAAGAGATGCAGACTTAGTGTGGAGGACTGGGGCTCTACCTAGTGGTAGACGTCATACTGGAAGAGATGCAGACTTAGTGTGGAGGACTGGGGCTCTACCCAGTGGTCTTATTCTCACCTTGTATGTATGAGGCTCTGAGTTCAGTTCTCAGAACCACAAAGCAAACAAGAAAATAAATAAATCCAGCAGAGGGGCCGGGCGTTGGTGGCGCACACCTTTAATCCCAGCACTCAGGAGGCAGAAGCAGGCGGATCTCTGTGAGTTCGAGGCCAGCCTGGTCTCCAGAACGAATGCCAGGATAGGCTCCAAAGCTACACAGAGAAACCCTGTCTCAAAAAAACAAAACAAATCCAGCAGAGGGAGGAAGATGCAGGCAGATCCCTGTGAGCCTGAGGCTAGCCAGCGCTACATAACGAGACCCTCTCTCAGAAAGGAAAATACACAATGTGGAGAGGCAAGCACCCTGGTTAAGTGTCTTCTTCAGGTGGAGCCTGATGGGGGCCCAGTGGGAAATAGAAGCTTAAGCCTTGTCCTTTGTGGGTTTGTTTGTTTTTTTTTTTTTTTTTTTTTGTGTGTTTTT